CTGAAGCTGCCAAGGCGCTCATACGATGGTGCTTCGAAACATGGCCTGAGTTAAACAGGATTGAGGCGTGTGCAAATGGGGGCAATAAAGCAAGCCAGAATGTATTAAGGAAGGTTGGGCTCATTGAAGAAGGCACCAGGAGAGGTGCTGTTTGCAAGAATGGAGAGATACTAGACGAGGTTCTGTTCGGTCTATTGAGGAGCGAACTGTAGCTGAATAGGAGTAAAGAAAGATGTAGACCTGGCACTGGAGAGACTATACTTATGATGCAGAGTCGTTTATCGTATCATTCAGGACGCTAGTTCTACTTGACATTACATGCTAAAGTTCATCTCGGGGATGTTGAAAAATGCAGAAGAGCAAGATCAACTTCACTTGCAGCTCTAAGATTGTACAATGAACGCCTTGCTATTAAGCACATCTTGCTGGATGCATCACCAAGTTTACACACTCTAGTCAAGATTGACTCATAGATAGAAAGTGCCTTGCCTTAGTCACCATTCTCACTTATCCAGATCTGAATTGTTAGCTGGGGCGAATCAATAATTCCTTGTCTTGAACCTAAGGAATAGATGACGGCTTTGATTCGTAGCGGGAAGCTGTAGCGATAAGCTCCGATTATTCAAAAAGTGAAAGTTGTTTTTCACAAGAAGTATACAAAATCTCAATACATAATTTTGAAACGCCTTGAACAATACAAGATAGAACCCCGTACAAGTTTGTAGAATGACTCTTCTCAATTACAGTAATTCGGCTGAGTGATGTGATGCAATTGGCGACAGATGGTGCTCACGGAGTGGAAAAATCAACGAGTAATGGTTGATTCTTGATTGGTCAGTTCCCGCAAGAATAATAGTCCGGCCCACCACCAAGAGCAAAGCTCCCAGGTTTCGACACAGATCCCCGGACCGCGGGAGATGACGGCCACTATCACGAAGGCGAATTCCCCTCCATCAACCTGCCATTGACCTCGAGCCAGAGGCCCTCTCGGGAGACTCTACACATCTCGTCTCACTAACGGCCGTTCCCTCTCTGCTCTTCACACAATGGCTTCCCTCCGACTCGCCAGCCGAGGCGCCAAGAGCCTGTGCATGCGGCCAGCAACATTCGCTGCCCGCCCTTTCTCGACGACCTGCCTGCGAAAGTACGCCGCCGCCGTCGAGCCCGTCGGCACCAGACTCGTCCCAGTTGACGAGGACTTCTCCTCCGCTCAAGATGCCTACGGCCTCTCCAAGCCCCGAAAAGCCGGTACCCGAAAGTCGCGCGAGAACTCCGTCCAGGACCGAAAGGTTCGACACTATACCGTCAACTTTGGCCCTCAGCATCCCGCTGCCCACGGCGTGTTGCGTTTGATTCTCGAGCTCAATGGTGAAGAGATCGTTCGAGCCGACCCCCACGTCGGTCTGCTGCACCGAGGTACTGAGAAGTTGATCGAGTACAAGACATATCTCCAGGCTCTGCCTTACTTTGATCGACTTGATTACGTCTCTATGATGACCAACGAGCAATGCTTCTCTCTTGCTGTTGAGAAGCTTCTCAACGTCGAAATCCCTGAGCGAGCCAAGTTTATCCGAACTCTGTTTGGCGAGATCACCCGTATTCTTAACCATCTGATGTCTGTTCTCTCACACGCTATGGATGTTGGTGCTTTGACACCTTTCCTGTGGGGTTTCGAGGAGCGTGAGAAGCTCATGGTAGGTGGACTATGAGGAGTTGAAGAAAATCAGCAATTGACATGTTCCAGGAATTCTACGAGCGTGTTTCCGGCGCCCGTCTCCACGCTGCCTACGTTCGACCCGGCGGTGTTCATCAGGATATCCCTGTTGGCCTCCTCGACGATATTTACCAGTGGGCTACCCAATTTGGCGACCGAATCGACGAGACCGAGGAGATGTTGACTGATAACCGTATCTGGATTGAGCGATTGAGGGGTGTTGGTGTTGTTCCCGCCACTGAGGCCCTGAACCTTTCCTTCACTGGTGTGATGCTTCGAGGTTCTGGTGTTCCTTTCGATGTCCGAAAGAACCAGCCCTATGATGCTTACGACCAGGTTGAGTTCGACGTTCCCGTTGGAACTAACGGTGACTGCTACGACCGATACCTCTGCCGAATGGAGGAGTTCCGACAGTCCCTCCGCATTATCCACCAGTGCCTCAACAAGATGCCCGCAGGCCCCGTCCGAGTTGAGGACTACAAGGTCTCTCCTCCTCCTCGATCCGCCATGAAGGAGAACATGGAGGCTCTTATTCACCACTTCTTGCTCTACACCAAGGGTTACGCTGTCCCTCCTGGTGAGACCTACTCTGCCATCGAGGCCCCTAAGGGTGAGATGGGTGTGTACGTCGTTTCTGATGGTAGCGAGCGACCATACCGCTGCCACATTCGCGCTCCTGGTTTTGCCCACTTGGGTGGCTTCGATCACGTCTCCAAGGGTCACTTGCTGGCTGATGCTGTAGCGGTTATTGGTACTATGGATCTGGTGTTCGGTAAGTTTGCTTACTTTAGTTTACTGAGAAACAATGCTAATACAATCGTAGGTGAGGTCGATAGGTAAAGCATTTTCGAAAAGAAAGAAGGTTAGAATGGGTTTCTTTTGTTTGTAATCATAGCTGATAGGGAGACCACGGTAAATACTCCCACAAACGTCGTGTGCTCGAGCGAGAAGCTATGTAGAGGTGATGCGTGTTCTGAAATAGCAATGAATCATCTTATTTCCATTATTCTTGGGTGTGATATGTACAGTTCTAGTGTTACAGCCAAAAGTACATGCGCTGAGAGTTGGAGGGCTCCTCTGGCCTGTCTGGCCAGAAGTCTACAAAAGCTTAGTACCAGTCCCAGAAGCCTGCTCCATGAAGAAATTCTTCAGGGGGGCGAGAGCATTGACAGCCCGAAGACCAACTGAGCGAAGCGGCACAAGAGGACCACTCTCGACAGAGTAGAGTTTATGAAGCTTATCGCAAACGTTGAGAATGACATGATTGGCAGCATAGCGCTCGCTGTTGTAAGGCTCGAGAGACAGCTGAGTGCCGAGGTCCTGACCATGAGAGACAGCATACTCAATGGTTTTGGCTAGGCTCTGGGCATCCCCTTGACCTTGATTCAAGCCTTGACCAGCCAAGGGGTGAATAGTGTGCGCCGCATCGCCGACAAGTGCAACGCGTTCGCCGGTGTATGTATCGGCATGGCGCAACTTCAGAGGGAAAGATGCGATGCTCCCCTCCTGAACTCGAACAACAGACTGTGGTAGAGACTCCGCATCAACATGAGTGTGCTGCAAGCGCCAAGATAGCTCCTCTGCCTGGTTATTATCCTGCGAGTGCATGAAACCAATGTCGACGGGGCTCAAACGGAAGGCGGCGTTGACCATAGCGATGAAGTCCTTGGGGCTCAGACTCTTGAGCAAGGCGGCCTTCTCAGGTGTAGTAGACCAGACCAGCGTAGCGTATTTGCCAGGCATAGGGAGCATTGCAACTGGGCCCGTAGGCAAGAATCGCTGGTACGCAATCTTGTTGAACTGGCCGCCCCAGCCCTCGCCTTCAAGCTCGAGCGTTGCGACAACGCCGTGTCTACCATAGTCCCATCCGCGGCTGTTGATTCCAGCGAATGTGCGTACTGGGCTGTTTGCCCCATCTGCGCCTACAAGGAGTCGTGCTGCCAGCGACTGGCCACTCGAGAGCTGCACGACTGGCCATTCGCTCAGATCCAATTCTTCGGTCTCCTTGCCCAGTTCAATACCCTCCACTTTCGTTTTGTCAAAGACGTCCACTCCGCCGAGCTCTTGCAATCTCTTGAGCAGGCCAGATGTTAAGTTCAGATTTTCAGCCATGTAGGCAATTGTCTTGTCCGGGGTCGTACTGGGTGGCCAGTCGAACTCGATACGGGCACCTGTCACTCCATCCCAGACTTGCATCTCCTGGTAGTCCTGCACACGTTCACGCTGTAAATGTCGCCATGCGCCGATTTTGTCGAGGTATTGAGCCGATGCAGGGGTAAGAGAACTGCAACGGTTGGAGAATTGGGTCAAAGGGAGTGAGAACGACTTGGTTTTGGAAAGGTCCTGGGCTTCGATGAGGGCAACTCGGAGACCAGCCGTTAGAGGATTAGCCCCTACTGTTTGTTAGTTGTTTGCTGATTGAGCGGGCAAGAAAAACTCACGAAGAGCTGTCAGTAAACTCAAGCCGGCTGGCCCACCGCCGACACATACAACATCATAGATATTGTCCTGTGCCGAAGTGGAAGCCCGGCGCAGCTGATACTGATATTGTCGTACGCAGCTCCGACAGACGAAGCCGGGCTTTCCCAGCACAGATTTTCGAGCCAGCATTTGTATTTGATATCAATTGATCCCCTAGACTCGAGGAGCCAAGCACAAGCCCTGTTCCAAAGTATGACTTGCAGCTACAACAAATCTTCGACTAATCGTCCCTCAATCGTTCGATAGGTAGCTCGCGGGACAAAAGTGGCGCAACATGTGGCTCACAGCATCTGTGGCGGTGCCACACCAGACACACTTACACGGCTTAGGTAGGGAGCATGGGTGGAAGATCCAGCGGGTCAAGTGACAGGGGATTGCCTCTGTACTACGAGCCTGATTTGAGTTGCCACAGACAACCACGCTACTCAATTTATCATTGCGTCAAGGGTCTCACCCGCGCCCGTCATCAACAATTCGCCTGTCAACCCAGAGACAAGCCCTTTTCACACGATCCAACCCCCCACTGCAACTAAAATTCGCTGCTCTTTGCAGTTTGTTCTTGTGAAGACGAAACTTGATCAATCTCCTCCTATCTTCATCGTTACAGAAAGCCATCGTGGGAGATCAGGAGTGTTGCGTGGCCCTTCTTTGTTGTTCTCCTGTCTATACAAAGCTCTAGCTCAAGGCATAGGCGGTCTCATTCCTGCGGCCTGAACACCATCCCGCATTGTCATCCTCGTTTGTGCTCTAAAATTCTTTTCGCTTATCGCGCTCTTCCTTGGTCTCGACTGCCGCCATGGCCGACATGGAGGACTACCTCGAAGAAGGGTTTGACCCACGTTCAGTCACTATTCCGCGTCTGCGATCGATTCTTGTTACGCATAATGTTGAGTACCCCGCGACTGCCAAAAAGGCCCAGCTTGTCGAGCTGGTTGAAGATCATGTACTGGCTCAAGCGCCAAAGCTGCGGGCTCAGCGCGCCCGAGCTAAGAGATCAAGCATGGGAATCGTGAATGCCGGCAGTCCGGAAGATAACGGCACCTGGGATGACTACGATCTCCCACCTCCATCGACTACCAAGAGGCGTTCGAAGTCTCCTCGAAAGTCGTCGGCACGTGTTAAGGCTGAGGATGATGTCCTGGCGACTCCTGTGCCCAGGAGTCCTACCAAACGCAGCACACGGTCAGTAAGCCGTGCGCTTTCTCACGCTGACGACCACGAGAACTACGATGCCCCTCGTTCCGTTCGCCAACCGAGGAGAACAGTTACGCCACAGGTCAAAGATGAACCACAAGAAGAAGAGACAATCCTGCCCGACCATGAAGAAAGCGTGTTCACTCACGACAACCCTTTTCAGAGTGGGAGTTCGCCTGCTCAACATAAAACACCTACCAATCGCCGCCGTACAACTGCCGGCGACTCCATCAGAAGTGTAAAGTCATCGTCCCGACGCAGGACAGATGGCTACAATGACGACTATGAAGACGATGTTGAGCCTACTCCCAGATATCGCGAGCCGACTCCGGACTTACTGGAACCTGGCGAGGAGTTCACCCCGAACGAGCAATTAGAATTGGAGCAAGCTGCAAGTCGGGGTGAAATGGAGATCGAGCCTCGCAAGCCTTCTCAACAGGTATCTCGAAGGGGTGGTTTTAAGGCACCTCTCTTTGTCCTCTTGATGTCTCTTGTTGGAGCCTACCTTGCGTGGTATCGTCAAGAGAAAATCGCGGTCGGCTATTGCGAAGTCGGTGGTCAAGCAAAGCCACTTTTTTCACAAGATGTTCCTATCCCAGACGCTCTTGTTCCTTTCTTTGAGCCTCAGTGCGAGCCTTGCCCTTCGCATGCGTATTGTTACCATGACTTTTCAGTTCGTTGCGAGAATGGATTCATTCTCAAGCCGCACCCATTGTCTCTTGGTGGGCTAGTGCCACTTCCCCCTACTTGTGAGCCGGATGGCGAGAAAGCGCGCCGCGTTAAAGCTGTAGCTGATAGAGCTATTGAAGAGCTCAGAGATCGCCGAGCTCAGTATGAGTGCGGGGAGCTTGTTGATGAGGATGGCAAGAAAGAGGAATCTCCTGCGATGGCTGAACACGAGCTTAAGGCGACCGTGAGCCGCAAGAGGTCCAAGAGACTCAACGAGGACGAGTTTGATGAACTGTGGGCTGCCGCCATTGGCGAGGTCGCAGCTAGAGATGAGGTCGAGATCATTGAGACAGCACCGTAGGTTCTTTCTCTCTTCACAGCTTAGGACTTTCATGACCTATCTGGCGACAATTTCATTGCTCCAATTGTTTCTGACTATTGACTAACCAGATCCACCATTGACCCTACAGATCGTCCAATTCCTCCGATCTTTCAGACAGATGGCTATCGTCCTCGTCTCTCGCTCGCCTTCCGTACACCTGCGCGATCAAACGATCAATCCGACTCGGCCTGGCAAGATATAAATTCCCAGCTGGATTTTTGATCGCTCTAATTCTCGTTATTTTCTACTTGCGAGCCCGATATCGGAAGCACGTGGCTACAAGTGCTCAAATTCCTGCTCTCGTCGACCTAGTACTGGGTAGACTTGCCAATCAGAAGGAACTCGGTGAAGAAGGCATCGATGATCCTTGGTTGTTTTTACCAAACTTGAGAGATGACGTCCTCCGGGCTATTCACTCGTTGTCTGAGCGAGAACGCATCTGGCAGCGGGTTCGAGCTGTTGTAGAACAAAACAGCAATGTTCGAACCAGTCAGCGCGAAGGAAGAAGCGGCGAAGTAGGTCGCGCTTGGGAGTGGATTGGCCCTGTTGCTGGCGACGGAGCAAGGAGGCGACGGAGCGGCCGGGTATCGCTCGGTCCTAACTCTCAGTTAGAGTCGCCAGAGCCAACAAAGGCAACCCCTGATGTGAAAAAGTGGGAGGAATCGAGACCAATCTACTAATATTCAGGTTCAATATTTCTCGTCAAGTAATCCTGCTTTATGCATTTCTCAATTACCATTTCCTAAATGTTTGACGAAAGGGTGTGGTTCTCTTGGACAAAGATATCAGGAAGGATAGAGCATCTGCCTCTGGAATCGGAATTGGCGTTGGAGGTTGCTGGTCTTTTCCATGTATCATTAATCATGTGTAGATGCAGGATAGTTTCAGAACAACCTATATTCATATTCATCAAAGCACCTCGAGTAATAGTGAAGCATTATGGCCAAACGGAACAATTTGCGAAAGACTGCAACAGTATACAGGGGGCATTTGACGAAATGATTCACTACCTAGGTAGGAATGACGAAGTCGTTGTGCTGAAATGTTTTGTTTTGAACATTTGCTGTACGCCGAGAATAGGCGATATCGGAGATTCCGACCTTTCCCGACGAGCAATTTACAAGCTCCGACAAACCCAATTGAACACAATCGACCCAAATCTTCCCAAGATCTCACGGGCAACAGCTTTCCGACAGTGAAGTAACTAGGGTCTTGATTGATTCGGCTAATGCACAGGTGTTGTTATGACACAGAAGGGGTACAAAGAAAAACCGTGGAATCTAGGGACCGAGACTCTAGCGGCGGCGTGTAATTATCTATTGGGCCTTGGAGGCAACGATCTCTGGGGGGAAAAGGTTAGTAATGCTATTGATTGGCAGTAATTGGCTGCACGTACTCTCAATATCCGCAACACTCTGCTGGAGGATCTGCTGAAGAACCTTAGGGTTCTCAAGCTCCTTCTGGACCTTTGCGATAACGGACTGAGCAAGCTCCTTCTGCTGTCGCTGCTTGACCTGGCCTTCGTATCGGACCCAAGAGTCAAGGACGGCCTTGGCCTCAGCAGCAAGAGCAGTCTTCTGCTCCAATTCGAAAGCCTCAGCCTCAAGCTTGGCGGTCTCCTACAAACACAACCATAATCAGCCACATTTCCAGCTACCATCCAATGGACACTTCGGAATTACCTTGGAAACCTCGAAAAGGTTCTTGGTGATCTCAACAACGCTGCCCATCTGCTTGACGTCCTCAATACGGCCCTTGACGGCCTCGGTGTGGTCGGCACGGGCGCTGTTGAGGATGTTCTTGATCTTGTTGTTCTGCGTCTCAGCCCACTCCCTGTAAGCCGGGCCACCGTACTTGATCAAGGCACCCCAGACTGAGAGAAGGGAGATGGCGATGATGGTCTCCTCGTTCATGACGTAGTACTCGCTGGAGATGGCATAGATGGAAAGACCAGCGGCGGAGCTCAGGATGGCGCTCTTGCTGAGCAGGCTGTTACCGGGAAGAGCGTCAATGATGCTCTGGGCCTTCTTCTTGGGGTCCTCGGCGGGAACATTGCTGTTGTATCGCGCGGCGGCAACAGAGATGGCAGGGGCAGCTCGGCGGGCGAGGACGGGTCGGAGGAGGGGAGCGCCTACATATAGGGAGTCAGCATGGGTCGGCGGTGCGCCAATTGGGATCGAATTGGGTTCGGTTCGAGGAATTCGAGATTTCTTCACATACCGACGGCGCTTCGTACCAAGCGTGACGCCATTGTGAGATGGTTCGTGATGGGGGTATCCGGGGCTTGTCGTTGATCGGAGAGCTGGAAGTGAGGTTGAGGTTTTATCGCGCTAGTTCGGCAACAATCAAGAGCACGTGACCTCAACTATCAGATTTAGATCTGGAGCCGGCATTTTCCCGTTGGCTCATAAGTGGATATGATTGGTCAAATTTTCAACGAGCAAAGAAAGATTTCGAGATTTCGCTTTTATGAACTTGAATGAAGTAAGTTTTTCTCAAAGTAAGGACTTTGACTTTATTATTAAAAAAAAGAAAAAGAATTAAAAAGTAGAAGTTCATTTTACTACGCAAACTATATCAAACGGATTCATCACACCTCTCTAGCAAACCCACGATGCCAAAAGCGGCCTCTGCAGAAGGCCTCAAGCGCAAGAGGTCTTCTTCAACTCATGAGAAGTCCACCACTGAGCGACGAAAGAGAGCATCGTCAACGTCCAGCAATGAATCCGAAGATGCCAGCGCGAAAATTCTATCAATGGAAGAAGGGATTCTAGAGTCACGGAAGAACTATAACGACCTCACCGTTTTGCTCAGTACTGCAAATGACTTTAAGCATGGGGGCCAGGAGAGCATGCTCTCTACAGTTGTCTTGTGCCGAATCTTTATCCGATTACTCACTCAAGGCGCTTTGATCGCCAAGAAGACTCTATCTGAGAAAGACCTTTTTATTGTGGGATGGCTGAAGGAGCGGTTTACCGAGTTCAAGAAAATTCTGGTTTCTATTCTACAGGATGAAGAGTTGGCGAACCCAGCATTGACCTTATGCATGAAAACACTCAAGGCAGAGGGTGAGTTCCTTTATGACAAGGACGAGTACACATTCCCTCGAGCTTTCCTTCGAGAGATCGTTTCCTCATTATTCGAGAGCGAAAATGAGGATGTGATCAAGGCATATGTGGAAGAGTATGTGGAGCAATACGACGATATCCGCTACTTTACATTCAACGCAGTCAAGTAAGTCGCCTTTGATTCTTTTCAAACGTTAGGTCAGGAAGCTCTCGACTGACCATCACCTAGGCACATTGTGGAGAAACAAGAAGGTAATGCCTCGCCAGAGCTCTTTGATCGATGCTTTGCGCTTTTGTCAGCTTTGGACGGTGTCCCTGAATCTGCCGATCAGCTTGAAGATTTCTTCGTCCCCAAACCAAAGAAGAAGACACATAATCTACGAAACGTCAATCAGCACAAGAAACAAGCTCAGGAAGCATGGCTCTCTCTCATGACCCTTGTTGAGGACAAGGACCAGCGGAAGCAAATTCTCAACGTCATCTCGACCGTGATTGCTCCTTGGTTCACAAAACCTGAGTTACTTTCGGACTTTTTGACAAGCTGCTACGATTCGGGCGGTTCAATGTCTCTTTTAGCTCTGTCCGGCGTCTTTTACTTGATTTCGGAACGCAACCTTGACTATCCATCATTCTATACCAAGCTCTACTCTCTCCTCGACCGCGACATTCTTCACTCTAAGCATCGATCCCGATTCTTCCGTCTTCTAGACACATTTCTTGCTTCCACACATCTACCAGCGGCCATGGTGGCCAGCTTCATAAAGCGCCTTGCTCGCCTTGCGCTCAACGCACCCCCTGGAGCTATCGTTTTCGTGACTCCCTGGATCTACAACCTGCTCAAGCGTCACCCAACATGTACATTCATGATTCATCGAGAGGTTCAAGATCCAGAGGTGAAGAAGCAAATTGAGGAGCACGGTGTCGATGATCCTTTCCTCTCCGAAGAGGCGGACCCCATGCAAACAGATGCGATAGAAAGCTGCCTTTGGGAGCTTGTTCAACTTCAATCGCATTATCATCCTAACGTTGCAACTATCACTAAGATCATCTCGGAGCAGTTCACGAAGCAGTCCTACAACATTGAAGATTTCCTCGACCATTCATATGCCACCGTAAGCCCCCTTTCCTTCGGCAATGCATGTCGGGCACTTTGCTAACAGTCACATAGCTCCTCGAAGCCGAGATGACAAAGGATGTAAAGAAGGCGCCTGTCATCGAGTTCCACATCCCTAAAAAGGTCTTTACGCCAAATGACGGGGAGGCTGAGGCCGAAGCGGATAGCTTACTAGTTAAATTGTGGGACTTTGGCAACTGAGGTTGATTGAGGATTATTTTTGATACCATGCACATATTGTCCTGGCGAAGACTGGTTCCTAGGGAAAACACGTACTCAGTACAATTTTAGTATATATCAGCAGAATATATACTAATAATAATAGCAATTTAAATCTACCATATCTGAGATAACATACCTCCAAAGTTGTGGATATTTAAAGAGGGATGCCAAAGCCGCACAAAGAGGAACCGAAACTTGTTGGAGCCAAGTAGGCTAAAGACTACCTACCTACCTAGATGACAATTTCCCAACTTGAAGTGTGAAATATGCAAAAAGACAACATCCAACCATGTAAGGGATCGGTCCTTACGACGCGGGCCTGATTCGAACAGACGCCTCCGAAGAGAATAGATTTCTAGTCTATCGCATTAGACCACTCTGCCACCGCGCCTTTGCTGAGGACTGATTCTGGTGAAAATTATCCAGCACCAGGAGCACGTCTGCTCAGATGCATGCCCTACCTTGTAGTGCATCCATTGATGTTGAGATGGAAATAGGCATCGTGGTTAAGCACAACACTTGTATACCTGCCTACCTAGTGGGTACCTATGTTCAGACCATTACTGGCCACAGAGCAAGTCGGCGCTTCAAGTGGTTCAGTGAGTAGGTTAGGTAGGTAGGTACTTACGAACCCAGTGGTCTACCTTACAGGTAACCTCCATATCTATCACTGAAGACCTGAAGTGAATCACCCCAGACTGTGGGGATCCGTTGCTATTTACAGCAAGTACAGGACATCGCCATAGGTTACTGGTCCGCCTGTGTTCTGTTTGCAGCCCTGTTGGATCGCCGCTAAAATTAGCATACCTTACTGTTTACTGTGAATGCATCACATGGGCAGCAATTATGGTCGTCGGTCGTTTACCACGACCAATATTATAATGGACAAAATGCAAGCGATGAGAGGTCCGTTTAGAAAAACCCGTTCATATCTTAACTCTAAAAAATATGGTGATTCTTGGCCTGCTCGTGACCTCCACTAACTATCTCCATGTTGTCTGTTAGTGGAAACTGCACTAAAATATAATCCCTGTCAACCATTGATAGCTGACATCATTACCTCTTCATTTGCAGTTCCAAGCGAGAAATCCCACTGCACCTCCGGCGTTGGTGGTCTTCCTCTGCTCCTCGGCCTTCTTCTCTTCTCATACTTCTTAAAAACACTCGTTCAGCCATTGAAGGTATTCGCGATGTCTAGCAATCGCTTTGCTGACCTGGCAAGCACTAGCAAAGCGACTCCTCCTATTTCTACCTCCAATCAACTCCAGGCTCCTGAGTCGTCAAATAACTCCAACGCATCCAAGGCTAGGAAGAGGAAGGGCCATCGCGGCGGCAGGAAGAAGCGAACGCGCAGAAAGAGTTTTGCGGCACTGGATGATGATGATGATCACGATGAGGATCGCGAAGCAACGGGAGAAGGGTTCTTCAATCTCCCGAGAGCGAACTTGAGCAATACCAGTATAGATAGTGAGGCACTGCTAGATCATCGGTAAGCTAGACTGGCCGGGACGAACATCGAGGGCAATTTCCTAACAAAAACTTCCAGGGACCATCAACCATTGCGTCCCCGTCGGGCATCAACGACGCCAGCTGCCAGCGGCATACCAGTCTCACCTTACTCGGGTTCAGCCAGCAACCGTCTACGATCGATACCAGCTGTCTCTGCCGAGGAAGAGCATCCGGACCACACGCCCTGGGACGAAAATGCACCATTGCTCGGCGAATCAGTGACTTCCGGTTACGGCGCAAGTGACGCTAGGTCAAACCAAACGAGAAGTCGTCGCGCGTCGAACAAGTCTTCAACGACACGCCTAGGAACCTCGTCTGGCGCGAGAGATAACTACGATGTCAACGCCCCTCCATCCATGCCAGGCTCACCTACTTTTGGTACCGCGGACCGTATAGAACTTAGCTTAGGGGATGTTATGATTCGGGATGGGCTTGGGGCGAGTCGCGACGACTCGCCGCATCGCATGATGGGTGACATCGACATCCTCTCCGACATGGAGGGCATGGGTGACAATCGCCCTGATATGGGCCGGCGAATGGCAACCGGAGCTGAGCAGGACGTTTGCTTTCCTGCTCCTGGGATGTCAGAGCTCGGAGATGACGATACACAATCGCAGGCTCATGAGCACCGACAGTATCGCACGCGCCGCCGCCGTGGTCAATGGCCTGACTTATCTGTGCTGGAGGAATGGAGCCACATGGAAAAGGAGGACCGAACGGAGGAGCGCCGTGTCAAGAGAATAACAGAACCGCAGCTCATCAACGGTCGCTTGCGTCCTGTGCGGAAGGGATGGTACCAGACGGACGAAGAGTCCCCATATCGTTTTACCTATTTCAACGAGGAGTTCCAGAGCACAATTCACAGTCAGACTATCTCTGAACTGGTTCAGCCTGGTGGTGGCTTCCGGGAACTTTTTGTTCCAGATCCTCGGGTTCTATCCGACGACGAATCAGATGAAGACGACATGGAACCGACACCTCTTCCAACAGGCTTGCGCCATCATAGCACGGCTACAGAGGGTAACTCCAAAGTTCACACGCGCCAGCCATCGCTGTCCACTGTTCATGATCATCACGACTTGCGCGAAGGGACTACTTCGCCGCTCAGGGATCCTCTCGCCCATGTTGCTTCAAGAAGCGAATCTGGACGTGCTACACCTACTGGGCGGAAGTCTGCCGATGAAAGTGTTCACGTTTCTCAGAATACTGCAGGCGAACCAAAGGAAAGGACTGTCAGGTACGGAGAAAGACCAGTCTGGTGGCTTGATGTCCTCTGCCCAACGGAGCCTGAGATGAAGGTCATATCTAAAGCTTTTGGCATTCACCCGCTTACTGCAGAGGATATCATGCTTCAGGAGGCTCGCGAGAAGGTCGAGCTCTTCCGACATTATTACTTCGTCAACTATCGGTCGTTCGACCAAGATAACAACAGCGATAACTTTCTTGAGCCAGTTGATATGTATGTGGTGGTATTTCGCGAAGGCGTTCTCAGCTTTCACTTCTCCAAGACACCTCATCCCGCCAATGTCCGACGCAGAATCCGACAACTGAAAGATTATCTCATTCTTTCTTCAGATTGGATCTCATACGCTATTATCGACGACATTACGGACGTGTTTGCTCCCTTGATACAGAATATTGAGGACGAGGTTGACGAGATTGACGACGCCATCCTAAAGCTGCATTCGTCTGCTGATAAGCGACTTAATGAGACCTCCTCCAAGAATGACGACGCACTTACAAACTCAGATCCAGGCACAGATATGCTTCGGCGAGTGGGAGATTGCAGAAAGCGAGTTATGAGTCTATACAGGCTACTAGGCAACAAGGCAGACGTAATCAAGGGATTTGCTAAGCGTTGTAACGAGCGGTGGGAGGTTGCGCCACGGTCTGAGATTGGTTTGTATCTCGGTGACATTCAAGATCATATCGTCACAATGACAGCCAACCTGGGCCACTATGAAAAGTAAGACTTTTCTTTACGATTGGAGCTACATTTTGCTAACATGTTCAGAATACTGGCTCGATCTCATGGTAACTACCTCGCACAGATCAACATACGGATGAATGAGCGTCAAGAACAGACGGCCGATGTTCTCGGCAAGCTCACTGTTCTCGGTACGATTGTGCTCCCCATGAATATCATCACGGGTCTTTGGGGTATGAACGTATGGGTGCCAGGCCAGGAATACGAAGGAGACCTTACGTGGTTCTTCTGGATTACCGCTGGTCTGTTGTTCTTTGGCCTGGCGTGCTATATGATCGCCAAGAGAGTGTATAACATTGTTTAAAACAACACTAACCTCTTGGTGCATACGAATAATATAAGGGGTAGACATTGGTGCTTTTTGCACATTCTGATCCGCGGCACATGGCAAGGCACACAGCCAACTTGACCCTGCTGCTTCGTTCTCTTTATCATATGGTGTTTGGAGAGTTGTTTTGGAAAATGTATGTCTATCTGGAACTCGCTTTTCTGCGAACACGTATACCTCTGGGCTGTTAGAAAGGATGGGATTGCTCGTGAGGTTGCTCTACAGGTGGTGTTTATGGCTAAAGATTCGTACACACAAAATTGTCCAAAACCTATTACCATACTTCGTTCTTCCCGGGAAATGTTGAAGCACTAGATTCGGCCATTTTGGACGCACGGAGCCAATTTTGTAGTGTCATTCGTTTTCAATAAATATGTGTTTAATTCTGTGCTTGCTTAGCTACCTACCTAGGGGAGGAAAAATAGCTCAGGACCTTGACCTGAGCAATGAATTACTTAGGTAAATCTAGCCTAAGCTTAGGGGGCTTTTTGCTATGTTTATTTTGGCATCCTCATCTCAAGCCTTTAGTTTTCTTGCTCCCTGAGGGACTTGGTTATCATGTCAGTTTAGACTTAACGTGTGTCATTTTCAGGAGCCACAAAACTTCATACTGTCTCACCAACCAGATACCTGTATTTAATACTTATAGTACTCATAGTCTGTTCGATTTCCAAATGCCGTTCTCAAGTTCTCGCCATATTAGCCGTACTGAATCAATATTACCAACATGTGATAGTACCCACCCTATACTTGAACTGCGCTCGAGGAGCATTTGTTCTAATAGCATCACAACCAAAAGCTACAAATAAGAAAGATGCTTCCAGAACCCAATTAGGTAGAGTTATAATTGATCTCGTGATTCTAGATTACACGCATATTACATGCATATGTTGGCCTCCTTACGCTCACTGCCTAGAAATGGCTTCCCCCTAACACTAAATTCATACCTGCGCCTGCGCCCTAACGCCTGATACACCGGATGCCGACCTCGGCCAGGATATGACGCTCCGTTGACATGTACGATAATGTGTAACTATCAGTGAAGTTTCTGATGACGCACACCTGAAACGTGCTGGAGAGTACATGTGTCTACCTTCGCTGTCCAGCAAACGTAGCACGGAGAGCCAAAATTTGTTGCCTCTCTGCCTCAGGAAGCATGTCAATTTGGGCCTGGGGGAGTTCCATCACTGCGCGCATCAAAGTATCGGGATCCTGCGCAGCTTGTGCAGGAGCCGCGACAGGAGCGGCAGCATAGGGCTGAGGCGGTGCCTGATAAGGCATAGCAGCAACAGGAGGGGTGTTACTCGCAACCGGGTAGCTAGGCATGGGCGCAGGAGGGAACGCAGCGGGGGGAGCTCCAGGCTCAACGACAGACTGGATGGCTTCGGGAGAAACGAGCCCCATGAGGAGAAGAGCCTGGAACACAGCGTAGGCCAGCTGAGGCGCTTGTTGGAGGAGCTCGGTGGCGCGCTGCGGTTCGCTGCTGGCAAGTGTCTTCATCTGCGAGAGAATATCGAGGAGTTGAGGGGGAGGAAGGGTTTCGAGCGTTCGTGAAATAGCGTCCGCGCAAGAGACACCGTGAGGAAGCTCCTTTCCAGCAGGCAGAGGAGGAAGAGTGCTCGGCTGAGCATTGTAGCTGGGAGCTGCGCCATTGGAGACATGCGGGTTGTAGTTAGATATGGCTGGGTCCTTGTCGTCATCGCCACTCTTTTGGTCGTTGCTGAAATCGACGCGAAGCTTTCGTCCCATGATCTCGAAATCGTTCAGGTTGCGCACAGCGGACGACGCAGAATCTGCATGACTGGGTCAGGGAGTTTAAGTTTTTGAGGGCTACTGTCATCCATACCGGTATCTGGGTAGTCTGCGAAGCCGAATCCTTTAGGTCGTCCAGTCTCGGGATCATACACAAGGCGGAATCGCTCGACTTTGCCTGCGCTGCTGAAAATGTCGGTAATTTGCTCTTCGGTCAAGCCTGGAATAAGTGTTAGATGCGATGCGATACGACTACCAGTCATGACAGATGTGGTCGAACTCACCATAAGGAATATTGCCGACAAAGACGACGCGAGAGGGTGGTCTCGTCGACATATTGAAGTTCCGTGATGCTTGCGTATCCGGAAGGAGAAAGAGATTTGCACAAGTAAAAAAACCGAACAATTCTGGTCCAGGTCAATTTTTTATATATCACAAAGTGAATAAGAAGAGACGGTCCGAGATGTAATGCGATGTCAAAGTCTGGGAGAAGTTATTGAATTTCTCAGCCTTGCCAATGAACAAAGGTTAGGCTGATGGGCAAGCCTAGAGCTCCGGTGGAGACGATCTGCTGGCCATTCAAAACACAGAGTCCGCTGGGTCTCTGTTCCAAACTTACAGGCCCCAGAAGCCCTGAGTCAAACCCACCCTGGCTTAGTGCGCAAATAGAGGATACTAGACCCTGCAAAGCGCCCCCGGAGCTACTGTACGTTTTAGAAGAGGACGTCAGCCGCAGTAGGAAAAAGGTGGCCTTTTTGGATTTGGGGAAAACGACTGGACAACTTGTGCAGTAATTCTGTTCTCGCATTTGCTTGGTGTTTCTTTTTCTTTGAATTGTCCGGATCCTCGAGTGCCAGGTGCAGATCCGCAATCAATAGCGAGAAACTCCAGTTGATGCTGCCTCTCCTTTCTGATAGCTGATTCTTTTTTGGTTAAATACTCGTCACTCTATCTCGCCATCAACCCTCTCCTTTTTGATTGGCGCCTCAGTTACGGATACCCTCGACTTACAACTACAACTGCGCTGGCTTTCTTCGTTGCAAATAGGTCATCATGCCTCCGAAATCGAGATTCACAAGGCTCGATGCCTTTACCAAGACGGTCGATGAGGCAAGAATCCGAACGACAAGCGGTGGTATCGTCACTATTGTGTCGCTACTAATTGTCCTGTTCCTGTCATGGGGTGAATGGGCAGAATATCGACGCATTGAAATACACCCGGAGCTCATTGTGGACAAGGGAAGAGGTAGGAAAACCTTTGCCATTCCTAGGAATAAAGCGTAACCTCCGCTCGAATGCTGACATACTGTGGCTCACAGGAGAGCGCATGGAGATTCACTTAAATATCACATTCCCCAAGATGCCCTGCGAGCTCTTGACTCTTGACGTTATGGATGTATCTGGCGAACAGCAACACGGAGTCATGCACGGAGTGAACAAGGTCCGCCTCCAGCCTGCTAATCAAGGCGGTGCTGTTATCGATATCAAGTCTCTTGCGCTACACGATGAGTCCGCTGACCATCTCGATCCCTCGTACTGTGGTGGCTGTTACGGCGCTCAGCCTCCTGCCAATGCTCGCAAGGCTGGGTGCTGCCAGACTTGCGACGAAGTCCGCGAAGCCTATGCGCAGTCCTCATGGGCCTTTGGCCGTGGCGAGGGTGTTGAGCAGTGCGAGAGAGAACACTATGGCGAGAAGCTGGATGCCCAGCGCGAGGAGGGATGCCGTATCGAGGGTGGCCTGCGTGTGAACAAGGTCATCGGTAACTTCCACTTTGCTCCCGGCCGCAGCTTTAGCAGCGGTAACATGCACGTCCACGACTTGAAGAACTACTGGGATGTCCCCAAGGGCAAGGCGCATGACTTCACTCACTACATCCACTCTCTCCGTTTCGGACCTCAACTGCCCGACAATATTGCCAAGAAGGTTGGCACCAAGAGCTCCCTTTGGACCAACCACCACCAGAACCCCCTCGACAACACGCGCCAGGAGATCCACGACCCCAACTTCAACTTTATGTACTTCGTTAAGATCGTGCCTACCTCCTACCTTCCTCTCGGCTGGGACAGTAAGGGTATCAAGATTGCTGGTCTCTTGCAGGACGACAACGCTGGCCTTGGAGCCTACGGTTACTCTGAAGATGGCAGCGTCGAGACTCACCAGTACTCTGTGACTAGCCATAAGAGAAGTCTGGCGGGTGGTAACGATGCCGCTGAGGGCCACGCAGAGCGTCAGCACACCAGTGGTGGTATTCCTGGCGTCTTCTTCTCCTACGTACGTACATGTGTCCTGACACTCGAAGCATATCTCGAAGCTAACATCTGTCTAGGACATCTCGCCCATGAAGGTCGTTAACCGTGAGGAGAAGGCCAAGACCTTCAGTGGTTTCCTGGCCGGACTTTGCGCCATCGTTGGTGGAACCCTGACTGTTGCTGCTGCTGTGGATCGAGGACTGTTTGAGGGTGCGGCTCGTATCAAGAAGATGCGGACCAAGGACCAGTGAAGGGGAAATTAGCCCGTTCAAGTCTACAATGTGAGGTCAGCTCGGTTTGGCGGATGAGCTTTGACGGAGGTGTCCATTGGTGGGAGCAGTTGCACGTAGATATTGCAAAAGTCCAGTGCTATATGCGTTGGCGGGTAGGCGTTCTGGAATAGTTGGGATTTGAGCAGTGCTGTAAAGAACATGAGACTGCGAATTGAATATATTTGAGATTTATGCACGAGATCTTGATCGAGTTCACTTGAAGAATGATCTGACGTAGGATGAACCGAAGGACGTCTCATGAGGCGGCTAAAAACGAAACTCGCTTCTATCCCTAGCTTCAACGGCCATACAAGGGAGGATTTATTGAGATCTGCAAACTCACAAGCATGGGACATGGGGGAGCGTGGGAATTTCTTGAGCTTGTCTTCTGGATTAACTCCATGCTGCCGGGGAAATCGTGGAAACCATACCTATGTAGTCGATCTTTGCTGCCTTTGTACCTGACAAGAAGGACGAGCACGGAGATTAGTGACGAGATAGAGAAGACTGCACGTAAGCATACACAGCGAATGGTTTTCGCTGATAGTATGCTGTTTATCTGACACAAAGACTCAGCAAGGTTTCCATGATGTCGTCGTAGCGAGAAGCGGCAGTCAGAAAGGCGAATGTTGATCCGCGAAGAGGGTGCCTGGTTGGTCCTTGATGATGCAGAGAAGTAACATTATAAAAAATGAGATACGGACTGCTCTGACCACTTACATGTGGACGTTATACGATGATCTAACGTTCAGAACACCAGCTTAACTAGTCCAAAAGGGCTGCAGAGAGTACCAATGCATTGATTGGCTCTCTAGTTTAGCACAGGTGATCATCTCAAAAAACTCAATCTCAAATCAAGTCAACTTCATTGCTTTGGCCTGTTCATGTCGACATATCGTCTTACAGGTGAGCCTCTGGTTAAGAAAGCCACCTCAGTACAGTTGTGAAATCCAACATCACTACGAATATTGATATGAGCAATCATAACCGTGGTGAAACGGTAGCCACAATGCTGCAATGAGAATCGAGTTGTAATACGATTCCACTGTTAGCCTTCTGCGTCACTGCAAGTGCCCTGGCATGGGTGATGTCTGCAGAAAGGTTCGTGATACGCAGATGACTCGGTTGTGACATCTCGATCCAGCCAGTGGGTGGAGTTGATATTATTTTGTATTTGCGTAAGCCTCATCTCAATACGCGTCAGATGGTTAGTCTACTGTTATTAATTGAGATTGAGGCTTAATTCATATGAGAGAATGAGATAGACTGGATGAACACGCGTGCAATTTGCCTTGGTACCAGTCCAGTCCTGGTATGCCGAGTTTGCTTCATTATTAGCGCGTTGCTAAAAAAAAAAACACCCGTGGCGGAGAAATACTCGTGCCCAGGTACGAAAAGGTGGAGGCTTGTTAACGAGTCATCAGAGCCGTCGACTCTGGTCTCTTGGAATCTGGATCCATTTTGAATGGACGACAATCGTCGTCTAGGCCATTTCAAATGGGCCATAGGGAGGAAATAGAGCATTCGGTAAAGCAATCCTGGTTTATTTAGTTGATGGGATCACAATGCATAGCAAAGCAAAGGGGGCACTGAAGAGGCGCGGTCACCCAGCCCGGGCTCGACTTGTAAACACCACACTAAAAGTGTCTTTGACTTGTTTCTACTCGGAGTGTGTGAGGCTGAGGATGACATGGGATGACATTGACGATACGCTAAGCATTGGAGGATATGTCAATGTGGTTACTGGCCTGGCTTGTGAGTATCATATGCGTTGACGGAGAGGGAGAGGGAGAGGATCATAATCCATAACATCTGAATGGACAAGACGTAAGATTACGATGAAATATGAATCTAGTTCAACTGTAGCACACCTCATGCATAAATGAACAAGTACCCCAGACCTAGCGTTGTGGCTGCAACAGATTTGGTCCCTGGTTGGCGCCAGAACCCGGAAGCGGCTTGAAGTTGGTGGGGTCTTGAGAGCCGGCCCCTGGCTGGTGTCTCATTGTTGCATTGCTTCTTGTTTTGAAGCCGTGGGAGATGAAGGTAAAGCAATAATTAAGGTATTTGACAATGGACTTTGTCAGACGCTAGGGACGTTGAGTTTATCTACCTAACAGACACATAGGATACCTGGGTTGGTAGGTACTCTATCAATCACGCAGTCTAGCAATACCTTGCGTCTACTATAGATCCCCTGCTCATGCAACTATAAACGTTCCTTATCATCATTGCTGTTGTGTTACCACGGTCGCTGGTCGTTTCCTCGAAAGCAACGAGATTAAAGATGCATGTGGGCAACTTTAGTACGAGACTTAATGGCCAACTTTCCGAGTAAAGTAAGGCACCATCTGTCTAATTTACCGGACTCTTCAACGCAAACATGGACCATCCCTTGTTGGGGTATCTTACCTACCTCGAAGAGGTTGCGTCTCCGTCTTGGGTGGGTTCGTTCCCGTCAAGACGAAAATGAAGCATTGCTCAATTCTAGATAGGCTTGCCGACTACGTTAGTTGTGGACTCAGAGTCAATAGTGAACGCCCCTTTTGGTCATGAGGTGGCCCGTCTTGGGCAAGTTTAGTTCCGGAGGAATTGAGCTGTGAACAGTATGTACGTGAATAAAGCGGGGGAGAATATCATATCAGTGTCATGGCGCCATCAAGAGTGCTCGTATTTGAGGCTCTAGACAATTGATACGATGTTGCGGCTGAGGAGACAAACTGTCCCAATCAAAGGTACTAGGTAGGTAGGCTAGACGGGCTAATAAGGCTTCCTTATCAAGTGGCGAGAGGGAGGGGCTTTACTCTGGGCTTTACGAGCGAGATATACAATACCTAGATTCATCCCACAAGATCAGATTGGATCGTGTTGAAGAGGCATGGGTGTGGTTGCAGATAGGTACTGTGAGGTTAGTAGTTTTAAGGGGTCGTCCACCCATGTGGATGGGCCCTGCACAAGGCTTCATATTGTGCAACTCTATGCCCTCATATCTTGACGAACCAGACATCATAGTCACACAGCGCCCAACATCTTCCTGCAGTGCTTTGTTCCCAATCCAGTAATCATGTCTTTTGGAGTGTCGCACAGCCCAACGCCTCTTGCTTCCCTTGTAGCTTGTTAGCTTGTGCCTTGGACCTCTGACTCTCTCCACCTTCTTATGGATTGGATCCATCAGAAAAGGGACGGGTTCCATGGATCCTTGATCCATCCATGCTGCCTTCTATCGCTCCACCCCTTCTTCCATCAAATCCTGACTGTCTTTGCACTGGAATCAATAACTAGGTACCTAGTGAAGCTGCACAGGGAGCATAAATTAATTAGTGCCTTGTGTTGTTGCTTGGGGGCCGGGCTATGGGTGGTCATGTACCGTTCCTTTCTTTACATCCCTCCATGGGGGGGCTAGTTAATGGATGTCTTTCCGGTATCGTACTTTAATTACCTACCTAGCAGGTAGGACATAAGGTCGGGTAGATTAGTAGCTCTCAGGCCCCTTCACCTTAAACCTCCACTACCTCCCACCCCAACTTTACCTACGCACCACCACCCGGTACTGTACATACATACATACCTTTCGTCCAAGACAACTTAGCCCTGTGACGCCGCCATTGTTCGCTGCTACTTACATACGTATTGTTTGAATTGTCATTCACGTACACGCACTCGCCGCTCTTTTTCTCTTCTTTCCAAAAAAAGTTCTTCTTTTGATTTCTCTCAGACTATTTGTGGCTGTGCTCTATCGATTTCCAAGCCTACTTGCATAGATCAACGTCATTTAGTGCTGTCTGTCACCCCACGAGGATCACCAACAACGACTATTGAAGCCGAATAGCGCAGTACCCTGAATATACGCCACGGCAGCGCGTCGCATTACCATCGACCTCACAGCGCCTCTCTTTCCAGCCGACGACTTCATCTGGTCTTCTGGCTCTTTGCTTGTTTCAACTTTGTTCCAGCGACCATCTCCGTATCACAATTCGCATAGCGCGGCCCGCGCAAGTTCCCTCTCCGACGCCGATCCCTCCTTGGCTACTACCTCTCGCCCTCGACTCGCCGTCATTCTTGACGTCTTTTGACCATCACAAATTATTTGCTTTCTTCCACCAAGATCGACAGCAGGCCTCCGTTCTGCACTGTACTTTATGCTCTCACGCAATATACTTGCTTAGACAATCGCTTCTTCGATTCATAGAGAGTTGCGACAACTTGTTCACTTTCACATAAACTCAGCGCAGCAATACGTCGACCTCCCCTGACTGTGCAGATTTCGAGCGCTTTGGAACTATACCGAAACGACTGTCGTCTTGTTTTCGCATCTGTGCTTGGCTTCACAAGTTCCTGGTCTGCATGGAAACACGCCTCCATAGCTAGACTTTTATTCTAAAGCGACCACCATGTCGTCACGTCCGTCTCTACTGGATTTGCGATCGGATTCTTCGAACTCCAACCTTTCTACAGTCTCAAAACCCTTGCGCTCACCTCGCCTCCATGTTGCTGGCGAAGTTCCTCCTGAGCTGTCCCCCTTGGACGCTTTCGCCATGCAAAGCCGCCTGCTCGCAAGGCAATTACAAGAAAGCGCCAAAGAGGGCAACCGAATGAGTCGCCTTCCTCCTCTAACTGTTGAGAGCCCATTAATCGTCCAGGGTCGCTCTGAGTACTTTCGCTCATTGTCACAAGATTCAGGCTCCGAAGCCGGTGATCATCCCCCTCTGCGCCCTAGTTCTGGCCTCGCGGTAAGGACAGAGGTGGAGGATGCCTTTAGCGATGACGCTGAGCGCCCTGTGTCTATGCATCCACGAATGAGTCGAATACCGCCTACTCCCGATGAAGAGGTACCCGCAGTGCCTCCACGAGCTCCGTCTCGAGGACGGGTATTGGATCACATTGATGAGACAGGCTCATTTTTCGGTGCCAGGAGAGAACGGTCGCCCTCACCGTTACATAGTGATACGCAGTCACAGTTTGACAAGCGAGTTGAATCATCTCCGTCTCGGAAAGACGACGCTGCCTCGCTACTTTCTGCCCGACGACCAAGCGGTTCGATCAGCGAATCAGTCACCTGCTCACCAGAAAAGCCCAAGCATTCACATGATGAACTCGGACTGGCGCCACCTCTGACCTCATTTCATCAAAGACGACGTACACCCAGCAATGTCTCATCTCCGGCGTTGCCTACTGACGAGGATGGCTCTAGTGGCATGGCGGCCTCGTTTCACTCACTACCTCCACGGAAGCTATCTTCTGCAAGTGCAATGACATCCCCTGCGGTAGGCTCTTATCGACGATCTCCTTCCATTGGCTCCGAATCCTCTGCGCTTCCCCGACCGTCTTTCAACTTTTCAAGACCTATGAGCAGGTCTGGCACACCTGGTATGGAGCCACCCTTGAGACAAGCTTCCTCTGATAGCCAGCCTTCGTTCATTTTGGCTGATGAGTCGGCTCATACACCAGTGAGCATGCATAGTGAGGCTTTCCTTGAGCAACAGGCCGAAGACCGTGATAAGGGTGCGCCATCCTACATCTATTCCAAATTCTCACTCCCGAGAGGCAAGGCCATTCAACGCGCGGAACCAGATGAAAATAATCCACAGGCTTCCTTCCATTGGGAACAACCCATGGTGCCCCCAAGCGACGTCCACCGATTTGAGAATGCCCCTCCACCATCACCTCCTACTCGACCTACAAGCTCCTCCGCCAATACCGTTCCAGACGATTCCCTGGCGTCGAGTAGCTCAATGCCGAAGGCATCAATCGAGCTGAGAAAAGTTCAGTCGGAGACGACACCGCCACCGATGCCCCAGCTATCCCCGACTGCAAGCAGAGCATCTGCTGAGGAGCCGCGTGCATCAGAGGACGCGCCTAGAGGCCGAGGCCGAACGCCCGTGTCGATAGCCACCAGTGACACAGCAAGCACGATCAAACCACCTCCAACAGCTCGCTCGACAGCACCTACAGCATCAGAAATGAGTGCAGAAGAGCACTTGGCGAAGGGTATCGCATGTCATGAAAGTGGAGATCTCAAAGAGTCCACATACCACCTCAGATATGCAGCACGTCTAGGTGACCCGACCGCTATGCTCCTCTATGCGCTTGCCTGCCGTCATGGATGGGGTATGCGTGCTAATCAGAAAGAGGGCGTGGAATGGCTTAGAAAGGCCGCGGAATGCGCTAGTGTCGAGATCGCGGATGACGAGAGTCATGTCAAGGAGGGCAAGCATGTTGACGTTGTGGAACGAAGGACTCGAAAAGCCCAATTTGCCCTGAGCATTTACGAATTGGGAGTGAGTCACATGAATGGCTGGGGTATTGAGCAGGACAAGTCACTGGCTCTCCGGTGCTTCGAGATCGCCGGTAGTAGGTTTCCCAGATGAACCATTAACAGCCAATTGCTAACCAAGACCCTAGACTGGGGCGATGTCGATGCGCTGGCTGAAGCTGGCTTCTGCTATGCGCAAGGTATTGGATGTAAAAAGAATCTCAAGAAGAGCGCCAAATTCTATCGCATGGCTGAAGCCAAGGGTATGAGCATGGTCGGGAATAGCTGGTAAGTCCCGACATCCAGAGCATATAACCTGCAATATACCTTCATGCTCACTAACGTTGAACAGGATTCACAAGGCCAAATACGATGACGACGGCGAGTCAACCGCGTCCAAGAAAGACAAGAAGAAGGCCCGCAGCAAATCTCGAACCAGAACAATGTTTGGACTGAAGTGAGCTCACGAGCCGCTTCAGTGACACGCCTACTATGATAATGATGACATCTTCGACATACCCATTTTAATCGGAGTTTTTACTGGTTTTCCATTGCATTGGGGGTTTCATGGGGATGAGGAGGAATATTCTTGTGCTCCCTGTAACGTCTGCTCAGGGCTGGAACTTATCCAGGTTAAGGAACTGGATTCAGTTTCGTGTTCAGCGTCGGATTCTAGATGAGGACTTTTAGTGACCATACCCCGATGAAAGGGTGATATGAATTATTATGCCTATTCCAGGCACAGCAAAGACACCGCTACTTGAATTTTAGTATGGTGGTTGTCTATTCTATTCAACACGTTCTTGGACACTGCATCTCATACCCAAGGACTAGCGAAAAGCAGAGGCACTCAAATTAGACAAAAACTTGCCTTTTCTTTTTTGTAAATTAATTGCATTCGAAATATTGTATTGAGCTGCACTGGCATCATCAGTCACAACTCCGCCTGCCACAGATAAAGGCCTGTTCAGTGACCCAGTGTGTAGTGTACTGGTATCGCGTGTTGTTACATGCCGTGGTCTACCTCATCTAAAGTTCCGATGGGATCTCTATTTAGCTGTCAACGTCCATCTTCTCCTCCACGGGTACGTCTTCCACGCTAATGTACCGCTTGATCTCGTCCCTCTTGATGATCTTTTCGTTCAGTACCGCCGTCGTGCCCTTGGGGAAACGGTAACTCTGAAGCTTGGGATCCTTCTCGTTGGGCTTGATGTAGTTTCTCTTGAGTGTTGTCTTGTCCTTGGTGATGATAGCCACGTCCACGTTTGACCCCGAGCCCAGATCGTTCCAGACACCGGCAAGAATGGCGTCGCTCGCCAGCTTCACGGCTTCCTCCTGGTTAAGGTCTGGCTTCCACTGCGTCTCAAACACACTCATAGCTGCCAAGCTACCACTGCCCATGGTAACATAGGGAAGCTTATCTGTGCTGCCGTGGGCGTGGACAGTGAAGAGGTGGGTGCCAGTAGGGTCGACGCCAGCAACGACCAGGTAGGCACCAATATGGCCCTGGTAGCGGAAGAGGTGCTGCTTCAGGAGGGTCATACAGGTGACGACGCGGGGCTTACGACCTGTGGATAGGGAGTGCAGCTCGAGTTGAGAAGAGATGAGGGCGGTGGTGAACTCTGTGTCAGCGGCGGTACCGGCGCCAGCGCACCAGATCTGAGGAGAGATGTAGTGAAGCTTCTCGCAGTTCTTGTCGGCGACAATGGGACCGGATGTGGCTCGAGTATCAGCAGCAATCTAACGGAAAGGTTGTCAATGCTGAGCTCTTGGTGGGATGGCGGTAGCTCCATTCAATGACCGAAGACCGGCGCTTGAGACAGCAAGGTATCACTTACCACAACACCACCATCAAATATGCATCCAACAATAGTCGTTCCAGTGCTGGTGGCCTTGGGAAGAGGCACTCCTCGGGCGTGGAGAGCCGCATTGCGGTTGTAGTTTGAGAAGTCGAAGCCTGGCATTTTGAGCGACCTATGATAACCTGATTGAAAACAACAAGATAGTTGATTTGCCCGAGTATCCGCAGGATAATGTGGTATCGCGACAAACGATAGGATCGCTCAGGTATATTTTGCGATGGGGATGTTGCTGGTCGTTGACGATTGCGAGACGAGTTGAGGTTAACAAGGCAGAGCTGATGACGAGGCTAAAAGCTGCCTCCAGCAGTTGAGCTTCACTGAGCACCTACAGCCACATACATCGGCGCGCTCTGATTGGTTGAACCCAATAGGCACGACAGGCAGACCACGCTCTGGAGCAGTGCCTACCGAGTAACCAGTGGCTCAAACTTTAACACGTGAGGAGGAGTTTGGCAGGAGCATATTAAAGTCAATGAGTTCTTTGGGCAGCTTCGACTTGATATGAAGCTTCGTATCCAACCTAAACTCAAAACATCCCCAGCTTTTAGAGGTATCATCCAAAATCATCAGCAATTTCTAAGTCTTCTGCGCCTCTAGGTGCATCAATCGGACCAATCACTATCTGGCAAAGCACGTCCCCCAGCCTACCACTGCCTGGGCCAAAGCTCCCCCTGGTCGTGTCGCCCCAGCCCACTCCTATGCTGAAGGCAAATTTATGAACTTCAGGTCCTCTCTCCAAGGCCGGCTACTCTGCTACAGTCATGGCTTTCAGCTTTGGCAATTCAGGAAACGCCATGCTCGGGAGTACGGCAGGAGCAGGAGGACTGACTACAGGCCCTGATCTGGAGACAATTCAGACAGAGGTGGGTGCGCTGTTCTTCTAACTTCATGGTTTTGTTTCATAGTCTTGTTTGTTTTGTTGACTTCATGGACGTGATGCTAACCACTTCCAATCTGTACAGGACCTCGGTTTTCTCTCTATCGCCGGCGACGCCAAGGTTCGCCTTACATCCGCGTGGTCATCTCTTCCATCTTCTACCGCGTCGCTTCTCAGCGTCGCTTCGCGCAAAGGTCTTGTCGCTGCTGCTGGTCCCGACCAAGTTGTCATCGCCACAACCGAATCGGTGCGAAAAGCTTTCGAAAAGCCCAAAGATGGCGACTCAGATATTCGCGAGTTTGAGCCTCAGCTCAAGATCCCTATGCCGATGCGAGTTTCGCAATTATCATTTACTGCGGATGAAAACTATTTAATCCTTTCCGCCGAATCTGGCGGCGGCTTGGCTGTCTATGAGGTTCAGAGCCTGCTATCTGGATCAACAAACTCGGCTTTCGAGCTATCAACGAACGGCGAAACCCTGAGAGCCATGATTCCGAACCCTACCCCTGAGAAGGCAGAGCTTTGCGCTATCGTTACGAACAACGGGAATTTGCACATGGCAAACCTGAAAGAGCGGCAAATCAGCGGCGTTCTTAAAAACCAAGTTAGCTGTGTTAGCTGGAGCTCCAAAGGCAAGCAACTATGCGCTGGTCTGGGTGATGGCACAATTTTCCAGATGATTCCAGAAGGAGAAGGGAAAGGAGAGATCCCTAAGCCACCGAGCGTGGGTGACTTTCATGGTACGTAACTGCAAGGCTTCATTTAACGTCAAGATTGGCTAACATCATCTCAGTATCATCTCTCACCTGGCTCGAGAACCACCTGTTCTTGTCCATCCATACTTCAAATAACGAATCACCGCCGACCTCTATCTACCATATTATTACGCGCCAACCACCATCATCTTTCAACTTTCAAAAGCTGACCGATCCTGTGGAGCCGTTTGGATCAGACAAGACACCTCATCACTCGATTTTGCGACTCCGAGACTTTCCACCCGCTCTCCAAGATATGCTCATTGTCGCTTCTACCGCAGCCTCGGAAATGGGCGTTTTGAGCCGTTCCAAGACACCTCTGGCTACGGACAAGCCTGCAGATGCTATCACCGGAGTGTTCACGATGACAGAGTTCTTGGATGATACCAAGAGACCAACATTGCCAATGTCTGACTCCATGGATGATTCCACACCGATCGGTGTAGCTCTCGATCTTTCCGGCAAGGACAAGGTCTACAAGCCTATTCCATCGGACGTCGAATTAGAAGAATCGCCAGGTCCACTACCTGGGTTCTGGGTACTCACACATGAGGGTGTGCTTTGCGCTTGGTGGGTAGTCTATAACGACTCTATCAGACAAGGTACCTCGTATCCTCACTTGGCTGTGGTTGAGGGCACATCAGCGCCGACACCAGCTCCAGCAACCCAAACCGGTCCTGGAGCTTCGGCATCGCCCTTTTCCAATCCCACCCCCTCTGCGTTCGGCTCAGCTTCGCAGCTTGGACAGAAGTCCTCTCCATGGGCTGGTGCTAACACCGGTTCTGCTGCCCCTAGCACAGGGGGCGCTGTATTTGGTTCAAGCGGCTTCAGCAATACTGCAGCCACCTCTGCCCCGGCATTCGGCAAACCTAGTTCCATCGGCTTTGGGCAATCGTCCCAGCTAGGCGCGAAGAGCTCTCCTTGGGCATCGGCGTCAGGTGGAGCGTCAACTGCATCTCCTGCTTTCGGCCAGTCGGGATTTTCGAGCTTCGCAAATAACAGCAATACAAGCCCTTTTGGTAAGGCGGCGTCCAATTCTCCATCAAATGCTCCTGCATCAGGGGGCTTTGCTGGATTCGCCAGTAAGAGTGGATTTGCTTCTGTGAGTAACAATAATAGTGGTAGCGTATTTGGCAGTGGCAGTCAACCCGCTGCCAGTCCTTTCGGATCTACCTCAAATACCGAAACAGCTTTCCCGGCCAAATCAGAACAATCTTCTGGCAGTCCTTTTGGGTCTACCCCTTTCAAGCTCCAGAGTTCCTTCAAGCCTGATGGCTCTGCCAAGGACGACGCAGCTAAACCCAGCGGTTCTCTGTTTGGCAGCAACTTTGGATCAGCCCTTACCGATGCGACTAACAAACCCGAAGTTACGACGCCAACACCCAGGGATGAGGAAATGGATACCGCGGGAGCAACGGAGGAGACCCCCCAAGCAAAATCCAAGGACTCACTATTCCCTACGCAACAAAGTCCCGAGTCCACAACGCCAACTACAACACCTGCGCCATCTAAGTTCGGTTTTGCAACATCGCCAGCCCCCCAGACATCAACTTTTGGACAACCATCGAAGTTTGGCTCCACTGGTGGTGGGCTTTTTGGAAACAAGTCGGAGACACCGAAACCCAGTGGTGGTCTTTTTGGATCTCCATCGAGTACCCCCAAGCCCAGCGGCGGGCTGTTCAGCTCAACCTCTGCGACACCCAAGGCTGGTGGAACCCTTTTCGGATCGCAGCAGAACACACCAAAGCCCGGTATTTTTGGAGGACAACAGAAGCCAAGCGGTTACACAGGAATCTTTGGGCAGAAGTCTGAGCCGTCTAAGGCTAAGAGCCCCGAGGCCGAAAACCCTAAAATCAAGGTAGAAGAAGATGATGCCCCGCTGCCTCCGGACACAACCAGTAAGGCCAGCTTTGCTGTTGGTGAATCGTCTTCCTCATCAGCGGCATCCAAGACTGAAGCCGCTCCTC